CAGCAGCTCTGTTCTATTTGCAAGAACAAAAGCTGGGGAAGTGACCTGGTTGTGATGGCGACGTGGGGGCCGGGTAGAAGCAGGCAGGACTGACTTGAATAAGCGAATGTTATTGGCACTTTAAAGTACGTATTCCCCCAGGAAATTGAAAAACAGAGCTCTCAAGGGATATTTTATTCATACAGAAATAAAATTGGAACTTGGTAGGAAAAAAACCATCAACTAAATTGAATGGCATGTAATAGCTTGAGCATTCCAGTCCTAGGTAAATTCTATTAGTAGAAGTTCCCCTTTGAAGGGCCTTAAAAAGTGTTTGCCAACCAATCTGTGGACTGGGCACATCACAACCCCTGGAGTAATGGATTAAAAATGCCTATTCCCAGGCCAGTCAAAATTAATAGAACTGAGGGGGGCCCAGGATTCTGCATTTTCAATGAGTGTCCTCCCCGCCCCCCAATGGATTCTGCTCTGCACTTGGGTAGGGAATCATCTAGAATTTTCCCCAGCATTAGCCGATTCTCTCATGAATCAGTATCTTTGTAATAACAAGCGCCAGGATTGTAGCACATGCAGGTGCAGAAACTCCCACTGTGTAAAAAAGCGGCTACTGTCAAGGTCAGCTGTGAGTTAGAGGGCGCCAAGCAGAGTGGCCCCAAGTCCGGGCACTCTCCTCACGGCAGGCCTCCTGGCTGCTAAGAACCACTCCTGCTTAAAGATTGCAGAAGGAATTTTCTTAACTCACCTATTCACACTGTAAGAAAGCCCTGATACGGAACCTGAGCCTCCTGGTGTTGCTGGCACCGGCTCTCAAGTGTCTTTTTGAGAAAGGGCAGGTGGCAGTGTGCCTGCTCCTGGATGAGGTTTCTTCGTATACTTCAACAGACTCTGAGCGGGCAAACCCACTTCCTTATTGCTTCCCACAGCCGAAACTGTCTTGGTTGTCTACAGTCAATAAACATCCATTAACGGATATTTATCAGGCTCCTACTTTGTGCTCCATTTTAGGCTCCAGAGATATCAGAGAAGAAGAGAAATAAGGTCCCCAGCTTAGAGAGACAACCTGCTGGTCACATCAGCTATTTGTGCACCCTCTTCTGCCTGTTGGGCACATAGATCCTTTAGACCATATGACCAACATCCAGAACAGTGTCCTCATGCTCGTTCTGACATACATTTTAATGCTGTTTATGTTGTCTCCTGTAAAACTGAGCTAAAAACAGTGGCTTCTCACTACAGTTTCAGAAAACATCAGACAACGGGAGACGGCTCTCCCCATCTGGGAAGATTTATCAGCTGTCGTTGGCTTTCTGGGAGGCAGTCTTTCTGAATTTTAGGTAAACTTCAGAACAATTGGCTTTCTGTCTCGATGTCCTTGGTCTATCACTTGGAAAGGATTTATTTTGCTTTGGCCTCTGTTCCCTCCTGGATCCTAAAAGCAACTTTTTGTTCCCTCCATGAGCCTGTCTGTGTCTTTAAAATTAAGTTGAAACTTTAACCTCGTATTGCTTTCTCAAATCTCAGAAAGCTTAGAATTTTCGTGTTAAGACATTTTGTTGACCCTTTTTCAGTTATGTGAGTTTTCAATCCTGGTTATTTTGTATTTGGATGAGTTTCATGGGTAGAATTTCAGAAGCCTCTGGAGAGAAGTTGGAGGAAGAATCTCCTCTAAGGATGAAAAGTAAAAAGGTAAATTTCATGTAAAGTGGATGATAATTCACGTGTATTATTTTTCAAAATGTGGTCCCCAGATCACTGGTGATAGGCAAGATATTTTTGGTTGCAATATCGCTGAAGAAGAAGTCTTATTTATTTTATTACATTTAATTTGATTAATCATGGCAAATGATACTGCTTTTTAATTATGACATTCAGGTTTCCTTTCATAACAAACTAACTTAAATAAAAAATAAAGCTAAATATTAATCATACAAGTGACATATGGGTATGACAAAAATCACAAGGTTGCTACACAAATGATTGGGGTTTGAGAAACATGATTTGAGTGGGGGTCAGAAGCAAGTGTCTTGTAGGAAAGTGCCTAACTCTGCAGGGCCAAAGGCACACACCTCACCCACAGTGAGCAGGAAGCTGGTGGGGGTGAGCTTCAACTTAACACAGAACACAGATTATCTGTACATGCCAACCACGGCAGAGTAGCAAGCCTTGTATGTTCAATTTAAAAGTAATCGAGTGTCTACTCTGGAAAAGGCAATAATTCACATTTATGGGGTTGGGGGGACAAAGGATCCAGGGCAAGCTATGGCAAGAGATTGGGGAGATTATGGGAGTCTTGGACCAGAGGCGGTTTTGTCCCCTGCTGAGAGGTCAGAGAGCATAAAGGCAGAGAAAGGGACATTCAGTCCTTGGGTGAATCTGTTACGGCTCTGCAGCGGGTGCCTTCCCCAGCAGTTATCTGCTGGTTTTATCTTGGAGGACAGCTGCAGTAGGATGGAGACAAGTACCTCAAACATAGCAAGCTCTTGATGATAATGAGAATTTCAAAATACTTAAAACCATTGTTAGATTTTCTTTTTAAATATAAAAACAGTGAAACAAAAACTAAATGAAGAAGAGCCATTTCCCTTAATTATATTTGAGACAGAATCTAGAAATGGAATTGTAGTTTTGTTCCTTCTCCCACTCTGTGATTTTACAGATAGAGCCCAGGATGGAAAGTCCTCTGGGCTGTGGCCCTCCCACCCCCACCCCATCTAAGTGAACCCCTTGGCAATGGGACACCTTCCAGTCAAAAGGCTTCCCATCCTTGTGAACCAAAAAGCCGCCCCAGGGCAAGGGCTCCTGTTCTCTGGTACCTGTAGTTGTCGAGGCTGTAGAGGACCCTCTGCCAGCCCATTCATTCTGTGGGGGAACAGGTGAGAAAGTCCTCGCAAGGAGAGAAGAAACCAAGCAGAGTGCACCCATGCTACTGACCCTAACACACGTTCTACCATGTGATTATGCAGGACATAAAAGCTAAGTCACTCAACCCTCCCATCTAGGTCACCCAACCCCCCGATCACCAATAATGTTCATTCGCACACGCTATTGCCTGTTCCTGATATGGTCTCCCCATTCCTGCTCACCCTTGCTCTTAGCCTTGTCTCACCTCCCTGATGAAGTCAAGTCTTCACACTCTAGGTTCTTGTGGTGCCATGGACTTCTCTTTGTGCACTTGTCCCAGATACACTTTGGGAAGACAAGGCCAAGAGCAAGGGTGAGCAGGAGTGGGGAGACCATTTCAGGATTAGGGAACAGCGTGTGAGAAGGCTGCAAGAAGGAGGTTCTGAAAGAAGCCAGTGTGGCTGGAACACTGAGGGTGGAAGAAAGTGGGTTGTGAGAAGAGGCTGGTAAAGGTGTAGGGCCTGCCCACACGGCCTTTCTGGTCATGCTAAGGAGTTTTGAATTTCTTCCTAAGCAGAGTGGGAAGCCATTGAGGATTTTGAGCTGAAGATGAGGAGAAAGACAGAAGAGCAAGTTTGTGTTTTGAGAAGATCAATCTGAAGGAATATGTTTTCTTTCAAGGAAGAGTCTGATCTTCCTTGAGTTTTATCTTCCTGAGAGTTTTATCTCAACTGGGCCCTTGCAACAGGTCCCACCCTGGTACGCACAGGGCCCTGGCAAGAGTACCCACAGACACCCACATCCCTGCGAGTTTAAATGGTTACAGGTTATCATCAGCCTAACAAACTATTATCAATATGTTCCATCCTTCTACCCTGAAAAACACGTCTCTATAACTAAAACGTAGGAAAAGATGTCTACAACTGTGGTTTTTATATGACTAAGAGTTGGCAAAGCATCAAAGATGATTGAATTTAATTATAATTGCACAGTCTGGGTGTCCTGTTGGGCCAACAAGATGTGGATGAGTAATAGAATAAAGATATTTATAATTAACAAATCATATCCTGTTCCGTAATTTTTGCCTTTATTATAGCAAAATCACTAATTATGTTGTTCTAATTAAGATTTTCACATAATTTCTGTTTTTTTGACAGAAATACTGAGTCAGACAACTTTTTTTGCAACAGTTTTATTAAGATACAATTGACATGTCATACAGTCCATTTAAAGTGTACAACTTTTCTTGAGCCATTTTAGTTCTGAAATAGTTTTTCATTCGTTTCAATTTGAAGAAACTTTGTCCTTCTGGTGGCGTATCAACCTGAACTGTTAATAAAATTCTTAAAGTAATACTTAGATTTGGAAATGAACTGTGAATAGAACATACTGTGTTCAAAACATGGTAATGGGATCTCATATGATAAATTATCTTTATCACAGCAAATATTAGAAAATATTTTTATTCCATTGTATAAATCTCCATCATGTATACAGCAACTTTTACTATCTTTTCAAGCAATATCTCCATCTAACATGAATATCAAGTCTTGGCATTGTATGTCACGTATGTTATTCTGGACATCTAATCCACATTTCAGAACAATGAGAATGGTTAAATATTGTAAAGTGTTCCTTGGCTGCCCTGTGCAAGTGTTGTGAGTTTCCAGAACCTCCTGAACTACAGATTGGAACTTGAAGAGAAGCAAGCATGGAGACACTTGGCACAACCCAGGTCCTTCATTGTGTGAGGATCAAGAGTGTTCATGTGTTTGAAAGGAAGGAATTGGCCAGTTCATTAGCCCCTTTCTCTCCTCCAAGTGTTCCCACTGCTCAAATCCTCCCTTCACTCTGAAGCAGCCCCTATCACTGCCATAGCCATGTGACAAACCCCTCAAATGCTCAGGGCTTTCAGACACAGTTGCTTGTTATTTCAAGGACTCAGGGCAAGGGATGTGGGGAAGCATTTCCCCAGACTTAGGATGGCTCTACCCTGCAGCCTAAAACTGCATAAACATTGGGTAGACCCTCTCCAAGGCTGTCCCATCAACCCACTAATTGGGATATGGGCTGATACTGCCAGGAAGGAGGTCCTTTCTTTGTCAGTGTGTCCCTTTGGAAGTCTGCTGACTGTGTTTTTCTCTTGTTTTGTCTCGTAGGAACTGGTGAAAGTGGGAAAAGCACCTTTATCAAGCAAATGAGAATTATCCATGGGTCTGGTTACAGCGATGAAGACAGAAAGGGGTTCACGAAGCTGGTTTACCAAAACATATTCACCGCCATGCAAGCCATGATCAGAGCGATGGACACCCTGAGGATACAGTATGTGTGTGAGCAGAATAAGGTAAAGCACTGGGGGCATCTGCCCTATCCAGGAATGTGTGTCTGCTTGCTCTCAGTAGCATATGTCTTTGAGCAAAAAGACTGAGTGCTTTGGTTGGGGGCCAGAGAAGCTCTTGCACTCAAACCCTGGGGTAGAGATAACGGAGAGAATTTGGGAAAATTCATTAGCCCCGTGGTCTTCCTTCTGCAGGAGTTCTATCATGTGGAAGTGCGAGGCTACCCTGTGTACAGGGATTCAGAAGTTTGGGCAGTTATTTCTGTTGCTTATTTCAGGCACTGAGAAAAGAAGACATAGATTTTCTCTTTCTACTAAGAGACTCAGTTAATTTCTTCACCGAAGCATTGGGGACGTTGGGCTTGCAATGGCTGACTTTTCAAGAATTCCCGGTCTCAGGAAATATTTTCACTAATGTGCTGCAGACTGCTCAGAGAAATCAGTGGGCTTTGTGTGTTTATGTTGGGAGCTAGCCCTTCTTGGGAACTAAGTGATAATCATGAGAGCGATGCTTATGTCCCGGCTAGCAATGTGCTCTCTCGTAAGGTGATGCTGTCGAGCTGGCACTGGCTTTCCTGTCACCACCGGGTATTTAAAATACAAATTGTTTAAAACCAGAAGAAAATATTGAGGCAGGAGGGTGGGAAGAGGGGGAAAAATAAAATATAATATGTATACTGGAATGCAAATCCATACGAAAGTAATACCGTGTCTGAGTTCATTAAGAATCTAGATTAGAAATAAGAGTTTATTTAAAATAATCGGTACCAAGTTATAACATGAGGCAGAGAAAAATTCTGTGTCAAATGGGTCTCTTGTGGATCTATTTAAAAAGAATTTAGCTGCTGAAATGCCAGAGTTGCATGGGCTTCAGTAATACACCCCCAAGGACAACTTGGTATCACGAACTTGTGGCAACTGTACTCGTATATATTTTCTATATGTGATAGACAAAGAGTTTTAAAGCAATCAAACAATTTAGATTTTATATTTCTCAGTGACTGAATTACACTGGAAAACATAGTATGTGCCAAATTTTCAACTTACCTGTACATTATCGCTGCAACCTCACGTCTTTCCCAGCCCTTCCTTGCTGTCTTGAAGAAATGAAGGAACTTATCTTGCCTACAGTTTTGCCTTCAACAGTGTCATGCTGAAAACGCCGGGGGTGGATCTGGTGCCAAGTAATGCGAGAGGTGCACTCTGAGCCACTGGAAGATTCTAGAAGTGACTGCGATGATTTATATATTGCTTTTGAGTACATGCGATATCTTTTTGAAAGCGTATGGTTCTTTTTTCCTTACCCTATACAATGTATTCTGAAAATGAGGCTTTCTGTGGCGATTTGAGATTATTTCAGAGAAGAGACGTGGCAGGAAACTTCCTTGTGGTGATTTCAGTTAATCTCTTTTCCCCTGTTGTAAAATGTGTTTTCTTTACCAATCATAGTGAGGTGACTGGACGCAGCTTGGAATTCAGGGATGGATTTGTAAACAGATCTATTTGGAAGGAAAGGCTCAAGTGTAAGCCACTTCTGCTTACATTGGCAGCATGTGTTTGCAAAACCTAATCAGGCTTAGTAATCAAGGCCTCTGGGTTTTTGCTTTTGTTTTGTTCTCCCTCATGGCCTTCTAGAGGTACTCAGTTTTTATGTTAAACAAAATGTTTTTGTGGGATTGGACGTGTACCACTTTCTTCTTTTCCCTTGATGTTCTTGTTCATAGGCCACATCCACTTGCCCACTACTCTGCACTAGTTTCCTAGGGCTGCTGTAACAAGTACCTCAAACTGGGTGGCTTAAAACAGAAATTTATTTTTTTCACAGTTCTGGATGACGAAAGTCCCAAATCAAGGTTGATTGGTTCCACCTGAAGGCTCTGAGGTCTCTGATCCCTGCTTCTCCCCTAGCGTCTGGTTGCTGGAAATCCTTGGCATCCGTTGGTTTGTAGACACATCACTCTAGCCTCTGCCTCTGTGTTCACATGGCATTGTCCTCTCTGTGTTTGTGTCCAAATTTCCCTCTTATGAGGACACCAGTCCTTGGGTTAGGGCCCACCCTAATCCCCTAGTCAACCAGTATAGTCTGCCCTCAGGCTCCCCAAGATTCACATCTATCCCACATACAAGATATAATCACTCCATCCCAACATCCCTAAAAGTCTTAAGCCATTATAGCATCAACTCTAAGACCCAAATCTAATCTAAATATCAACTCAAAAAGTCCCAGATCTCATTATCTAAGTCAGATATGGGTGAGACTCTGGGTGTGGGCCATCCCGGGGCAAGGTTTCTCTCCATCCATGACCTGTGAAACTAGAAAACATGTTGGTTGTCCCTCCTGTCTCCTCATTTGCTGTGTCTGGCTCCATTCTCAATGCCTCCTTCTTTCCACTTCAAGTATCTAGATTCATGTTCCATACATTTTCTCTTATCCCTCAAACAGATGCCTGGAATGATACACACTGAAATGGCTTAAGGAAAGGCAGAAGATTGAGTGGAAAGAACACTGACTTGGCTCCCAAAAATTTGGAATCTGCTTATGGCTCCCCTGTGGGTCTAGGGCAGGGGTCAACAGACTTTCAATAAGGAGCCAGAGAGTAATTATCTTTGGCTTTGTGGGCTATATGGTCTCTGTCACAATGACTCAACTGTGCTGTCAGAATACAGAAAGTAGCCATAGGTAATAGCTAATGTGTGGCTCAATTGTAAACTCTATTCACAAAATGTAAAAACTATTCTCAACTCATGAGCCATACAAAAATCTACTCAGACCATGGGCAGATTTAGTCTATGGGCTATAGTTTGCCAGCCCTGGTCCTAGGAGAAGCTGTACCTTCTTCTCTGCTTTTCCATTTCCTCATCTGTTAAATGCAGACAACACAGACTCTGTCTACTTCAAAAGGCAACATAGGCAAAAGGAAGTGCTTTACAAATTAAATAGCTCTCGAGAAATATAATGTTATTATTGGGCAAGTTCAAAAATCAGAAATGGACTCATTGTTTTTTCTATTATTTATTTAGGTCATTTTATCCATTCCTTCTATATTGTTTTCCTGTGTGCTATTATTATTTCTAATAATTTTGTCTGTGGGCTACTTTAATTCCAAACATGAAACTGTAACAAAGTACCATGCTTAGGTCATAAAATGATAAAATGATTAGTGGACATTTTCCAGTAGTATTCAATAATTAGTTTAGGAAGCATGCTATATGTTATCCTCTTTACAAAGTATTGCATAACTTGAAATAATTGACTAGTTGAGACAGGGATAAACACAACCTTAATTAGGTTTTATTTCTGCAGTGGTGCACTCTTTCCTTCACTTCCTATTGCTGAGTATTTATTTCAATTATCTGTGGAGTTTTTGTTTGTTTGTTTGTTTGCTTGTTTTAAAGAGCTGGGAACACTTTCTTTAAAGTATGTAGAAGAGAATTAAAAGTTGTTTTAGAGGATTTTATTTCAAATGTTAGTGAGATCATTGTTCAGCTAAGTGGTTGAAAATCTTTGCCTATTACTTGACAGCCTGCTTATTAAAGGAAATTTATCAGAAACTTAGTTCAGCATTTGGTTTTTAACCAACATGTTTTTTCAATTAAGATATAGCCTTCAAGATTATTTTCTTTTACCTTGCCTGCTTATTTTTTTTTAAAGAGATGATTCATATGTATTTGCTCACTCTGTTGATAAGCCTTAATTTTTATGAATGTCTCTCAAGAGTGTTTTATGAGCACATATTAGAATTTATGACTTCTCGAATAAATATTACAAAGGCATTTGTTCAGTGGCAGAGCTCCTCAGTCTGAGTTAGCTTAGAACTCATGTTTACTCAAGATGATTTCACGGAAGCCGGAAGAGCTTCGTATTTTTGCTGTTTGTAGGGTCTTGAACTTGAGAAACTCTCATTCTAGGCCTGTCCTGCAGTGAAGGAAATATCTTGAACCCCTTAAATGTTCCGTGGAATCTGCTTGGATGATGTAGATACGGAATTTCCCAAGGGCAAAGGGCAGCCTCGCCTGACTTCTCAAATGCATTTCGGTTCTGTATTCAGGGATCTCTAGAAAAAAGGAGGTCTGCAGGCTCTTCACAGCTGCCCCTAGCCTCTTCTCTGCCCTCCTGCTTATAGGGGTGCTGAACTACACGGGGGCCATGTCATATTTGCATGCAACTTAAACAAATTTAACTGTACGAGCTCATCGTGACAAAAGCAAAAACAATTTTTTTTAAAAAAGAAGAATTAATAATTAAATGATAAGAGGATTATTTTGTCTGACATTCCATTCTGAGTACTTAACTTAGAAGACAATGTTTCTGGAAGTGTGAGGTCTGAATTTCTCTTCAGAAAGCATCTCACTCTTCCATTAGAAGCTTTTGCTGAATTCAAAGTCCCAGTTGGGACTATGGACTTGGGCATTCAGCCCACTGTTAGTCTTGAAAGGCTGAATGTTTTGAGTTGCACTGACTCACAAAGCTCTGCTAGTTCTATTTGAAGTTTTGCAGGTCCCACATTTGGATGCAAGGACGACTTTCTCGTTCAGTAACTGGGAGCACCTCCTCTCCTGGCTGCTGGGTTTATCAGACAGTAGAGCATCCGAGGCGATGGTTCTCCATCTTGACTGCACGTTGGAATCACCATGGGGGCTTTTATGCTGAGGTCCAGGGGACCACCCCCAGAGATCCGGAGTGAATGCTCTGGAATGCAGCCTGAGTACTTGGATTGAGGAGATTCTAATTGGGCAGCCAAGATTGAGAACCACTGAGATATATGTATCTTAACATTATTTAGATGTGTTCAATTCAGATTCTGCTTTCCTACCAACTTTTGCATAGCAGGCAGGTGGACTTCTGGTAATCTTTTCCATGAGATTACCTAATTAGTCTCCACCCAAAGGTAAACTGAGTGGGCAGCATTGAGTATGTTTGTGTTGTTGAGCCGCATTGGGCTGCCTTGGTTAGACTAGGTGATGGTAGCCTTGACAGCATCTCCAGGTGGCATCTTGGAGTCACA